CAGAAATTACAAAGTATTTTTGTGAAATCCTCGATTAGGGAAATGCATGTAATCCTATGACCAATTGGAGCTCCCATTATCCTATTCCCATTTAATAATTAGGCTGTTAAAACACTTCACAAACCCCAGATTTCCAAAGAAAGCCAGATTAATCTGGTATCTTATTTTGATAACTGCCTTTTATAAAAACAAGGAAAATGAAGTAGATATTAACCAATCAGTAATTCAGAAAAGCAGTTGTTACAATGACAGTTAAAATTGTTAACCTGAGCAGAGGAAGTGAGAATAAATAAAAGAACTGCTAAGACAGGAGTGAAACTGACAAAATAATAGTATGTTGTGTTGTAAGGATAATTATAGGCTTGGAATGAGGTTAGACATTCCAAAAGGTCTGCTATTGGGAATTAGCTTATTTAATACTTGCATTAATAATACACACACATAAAAGTTTGTGTTTGCTAATTAAATTTGGAGGTGGTGAAGCTGGCAGACAACAGTAAAGGAGAGAGGAACGGGGCTCACACAGGAAAAAATGATGTTGTTAAGCCCTGGAATTAGAAAAATGGAAACAAGATGGAAATGAACAGAATAAAACATTGAACCTGGTCTTCAAGGATTAGAAACAAGAATATCTTCCATAAACTACAGGACTATCGCCTGGAAATGACAGAGTAGAATGGGTGTTCATAACTGCTTCTGAACAAACTTTAAATACAGGTGGGGAAAAAGCAAGCAAGATCCCCTTACAATGAAGGTCATTGGCTGATAATCATAAAATCACAGAATCCTTAGAGTTGGAAGGGACCTTTAAAAGCCATCTAGTCCAACTCTCCAGCAGGGCACAGGGACACCACAGCTCCATCAGGCTGCCCAGGGCCTGATCCTCTTGGCCTTGGCAGTCTGCAGGGATGGGGCAGCCACCACCTCTCTAGCAACTTGTTCCAGGTTGGAATTATTTGTAATTCACAAAATACTGGGAAGACTTCATCTGAAATCTAGGTCATTTTTGTTCAAGGAAGGTTTCTTTTAACTAGTAAATAGATACTGCATGTAGATAGAACAAGATGGACCAAAAGGAAGGATCACAACAGACCCAAGTGTTCTGGTTCCTTTACTGCTCAAAGCAGACCCTAGGTTGGTGAGTGTTCTCACCCCTTCCTGGCCCTTGCACAAATCAAAGTGAAAAGAGGAGGACAAAATGCACTTCATGCAGTCAGACTGAAACAAGATTTTCTCCACACTGATTGTATATTTCCTGGCTACCTCAGCCATTTTACACAGAGCAACACCCAGCCACAGAGTCCAGCTGGAGTGATCCAATACATCTAAAATGAATAAGGTGCCATGGGATATCTGCCTGGGTAACCCTGATGGCTTCCTTGCAGAAGGCAACCCAGTGCTGAGGTAGTGGGTCCCAGGAAATAAGCCTGGGAGGTTGTGTTGATCTCAAACAGCTTGATTGGAGAAAACAACAATGTTACTATAGTCAGAAATAGGAAGAGACCTTATGTTTCCAATACCAGCACATCATGGAGAACTTTTGTAATATCTGCCTTCAGCCTGAAGTCAGTTTGTAGTACGACAGACCAGCTGTCAATATGCAGACTTGGACCAACATAGATGGGCCCTCTTGGTGAGAGAGATGTATTTCTTTGGTTGTAAGGAAGAGATGCTATGACAACAGCCTCCTAAAAACACAACGCAAAGCTTCCAAATGCTAAGTAAACTCAACATTTGGAATAGCAACGTGATTTTATAGATACTGAAAAGCAAAACTTCCCAACCTGCACACAACAATCAACGAACTGAAGCTGATATATCTGCTGTCATCAAAAGGTGTCTGATACAGTCAGCAGCATGGTGTCCTCTACCTGATAACCTAGAAAGATGGGCACCTCTGCCACTGCCATGTTCCTATCACTAGAAATTGATTTAACATTGATTTAGTAAAAAAGCTGTTCTCTACTTTGCTCCCAGTTCCTACAGCAATTGGCTATTGCCCGAGTTTCTTTTATCACAGAATAACCAAACCTAACTGCATTCAGCTTATGCAGTTCTTTTGAAAAATGTTTAGTCTTTCAGTGCTGATAAGCCCGACAGCCAGAGTGAGCTCAGAGTTTCTGTGGTTATATCAGGACATGAAATCAAAGAGGTGGTTCATACATCCCCTGTCCTTCTTTAATCTTTTCATGATATATTGGATTACAACAAGAAAGTGATGTCCTGGGCCTCCAAACCCAAACCCAAGCTCTTACAAGCAACATCATCAGGCAACCCTGTCCATAGAACAAAATTCTACAACCCTCTATACTCACTGCTCTGATACTTAGAACTCTTCTCTTTATCCAACTACCTTTATCATTACTCTTTTGTCCTCTGGTTTCAATGCTGCTGCTGTTTTGTTATTTGCTTTCTCAGTGATGCTTAATAAGTCATTCCCATCCCTTCTCAATCACTACTTTGTTTGGCATGCATGCCGAGCTCTTGCAAGTACAGCAAACCTTGCACGATGCAAGACCCTTTTGAATGCACCAGCTATTCTAAGACACACGGTTTGACAGAGCCCCTCTCCGGTGCTGGTTCACAGGAAGGACAGCAGCCGGCTCCTGCAGTTCTGTCAGATCAGTGGCAGAGGGCTGTGCTGTGCTGCTGGAGCCTGTGGATGCAAGCCCTGCTGCCAACGAGCCTTCACACCTGCAGCAAACTGAGGTTTAGGGGCACGCACTGAAGTGTTCATTGAGGTTTTTTTCTACATAGACATGAAGGTATGACAGTGACAGTCCCAGCTTACTATTACAACACAGAGCATATTCTCCTATACCTTACCAAGAGAATGATAGGCATGAATTTAAATACTTAATGACTAATCCAGCAATGCCTGACTATTTTTTAAAGTAAGATATCAGCTATTTTCCAGTCAAAAGTGGAACATCGCTAACAGCCTGCCATCTTGCCTGTCTCCATTGAGGTTTCTAAATACAATATTCCCTTCCCTGACTGCCACTCTACCTGCTGTCAGGCTCCATTAGGCATAACAAGATCCAGACAGATTCAAGATTAAGCAACTTTTTTATAAAATCCAATTGAGGACTTTCTTACCTTGAGGGTGCAGCAAATATTACATTAACCAGATTGCACACACTTTCCATGCAAAAATTGAAGGCAGATATATATATATATATATATATATGCATGCACACAGTGATTTAGTTCTCCTAGGAAATAAGTGGGGGCTTTCTAGATTCCTCCCACCATAGATATCATAATCAAGCTCAGCTAATTGAGACCACTGTGAGGAAAAGGGTGTTCCTTAGTAAGGCCCTATTTTTCCAGAAGCAATATGTGAGTGCTGCTGCCTAGTGTAGGAAATCCATGCAGATTAGTCACGTGGAAGGAGAGGAACAAGATTTAAAAAGCTCCTTACTGGCCAGGCTACAGCTTTGGCTCCCAGCGAGACTGCAGACCCAGAGTGGCAGAAGCCAGAAGAAGGAATTCCCCTTCCATCACCTGCCCCTGCACACAAGTACCAAGGAATGGGCCAGAGACATCCCCAGTGCTACCTGGTGAGTGTCAGCAGGATGGCTTGGGGGCTCTTGGCTGGGAGTGGGTGCTCTCCTGATGCCCAGAAACAGCTCATCCCTCATTTGCTGCATGAGATGGGTGCGCAGGCTCAAGAAAATGCAGGGGATGGTGGGCACATGTAATAGCACCACATGTAACTGGAAACGTGGGTGCTTATGTAGTGTTTTGGTGGCTGTGAGTGAAGGGTGGTGTGAGAAGCAGGCAGCTGTGCATTGCGCGGGTGTAAAGATGTGGGAACATGGCATGGACAAAGCCTGAGAGCTCACAGAGCACCGTGCACTGACTGCACACGGGGGAAGCGCTTCAGGCATGCATAGCATGAAGTGTCAAAAGGATCTGAGAAAAAAGTTTCATGTGGTGTATTTGGAGAAGAAGAGGGTAGAAAACTGTGGAACAGAAGGAGAGCATCCAAGCCACGTGTTCTAAGCATGCATTTGCTCTGTAACTGTCTAGACGGTGCTCTGGTATTTTTTCCAGACAAGGACTTTGGGAACCAAGTCACAGCTAAGGATCATGAGAAACCCAGTATGATGCCTTTTGTAATGCCAAGAGCTTTTGTAAGGCATAAAATCCCTAAATTGTCAATAGCTGCCTCAGCAGCATCTTCACAGTCAGTGGCCTAAAGAGGGAAGGGGAAGATGCCAACTCGCAAGCTTTAATTCTCACAATTGCGACTCCTTTCACACTCTAAGAACCTGAGATTATTTGTGAACTCACTGAATAGTACCTTTACACACATTATCAGTCCTAGCAGAGCAAGTAGGGATGGTAGGCTGTAGCACCACAGACAGTCCTGCCTCCAACCTATTCTCATTGATTCGAGGCAGAAGGAAAGTTATTTAATCTCACTGGTGGGAAGCAGCCTGTTTCTTCTGCTTTTGTACTCAAATTTTATTGCCCAACAGACACAGAAGGGACAGCTACAGCTCGTGGCTGCAATAGGAGGAGGGCCCAAAAAGCCCTGTTTGCCAACTTACTTAGACCACTTGTGGCAGTAGTCGCTGTTGACCTGCTAACTAATTGTTTGCTCGTTTTACATCTAAGAGATCCGGGTCCCACTTAGAAGAGCAGTAAATTTGTTATACAAATACAGCAGCCTGATAACCAAGCCCTACCAGCTCCGTGCTTTCCAAGAAAGCAAAAGTCGGGCATCGATCGGTTTTGGCGTGGGACTAAGAGCAGCGTCCAGCTCCGCCGTTCGTGCTACACCCCCTCGGGTTCTGATCCCAAAAGCCAAATTCTAGCATTTAACCCAAAGCGCGCAGGGAGAGCTGCCTCCGTCCCGCATCTCAGCCAGAGAGCGGAGCGGTTCAGCTCCACCTGCCGCCCGCCGACAGCCCCTTCGGACCGCCCGGCCGGGGACACGAGGGCAGGGCCGGGCCCCAGCGTGATCCCCGGCAGCCCCGCTGGGCAGCGCGGGGCGGGCTGCGCTCGGTGCCCGACGGGCAGAGCAGGGCAGGGCGGCCCCAGGTGCGCCGGCTGCCGGCCGCTCCCCTGCGGAGGAAGGGCGCGGGAAGCCCCGCTCCCTGGGGGCGCCCCGGTCCCCCCTTCTCCCGCCTCATTTGCATGGCTCTTATTACGGCCGTGCCTCGCTCCTGCCGCGCTGACACCGGCGGGCTGGAGAGCGGAGCCGCCTGCAGCGGGCAGCGCGCTTCCCTCCTTCCCTTCCCCGCCCCGCCTCGCCCGCTCCCCCGCCTCAAGCTCGCTCTCTCTGGATGTTTAAGGCGAGGATGAACAAACAGATCCAGCCCGACCGCAAAGTGTCGGTGGTGGCCCCTTTGCCGGAGCGCCCGGGGCCGCCTCCCCCGCGGAAGGACGTGGAGCTGATCCTGGTGAAGGAGCACAACGGCGTGCAATACACCAGCAGCAACCTCCTGCCCGCCGCCCCCGCGCCCCGCTACGGCCCCCAGGACAGGGAGACGTGGGGCAAGAAGATCGACTTCCTTCTCTCCGTCATCGGCTTCGCCGTGGACCTGGCCAACGTCTGGAGGTTCCCCTACCTCTGCTACAAAAATGGAGGGGGTAAGGCGCTTCGCGAGGTCTCGCTCCCCGACCCCAGCCCCAAAACCCAAAAGCTGGGGGATTTGCCGTAAGGTGCCCGCAGAGGGGCCGCCGCTCCTCCGTTCTCCCCGCGATCCCGCTCCGCCGAGCTCCGTCGGGGCACGGACCGCTCGCCCCCCTCGGAGTTGAAATTAGTTTTGGGCACGGGCGTAGCTGCCTTCTGCTGCCGCGCCAGCCTTCTTTTCGTTGGCAACAACTAGTATCGAGAGGAGAAAAAAAACCTCGAGTGGTATGAAGTAGCATCTAGAAAAGTTACCGCTGGATCAGAAAAAGGTTTCTTTGGGGTGGTTTTAATGGGAGAGCAGGATTTCTGCCCTCGTGCTGCAGTTGAGAGGTTCTTTTCCCAAAGTAGGTAGGAGACTTGTTACAAACAAAGCCTCACCTCCTGCACAGTTTGACAGCAACAAATAGATCACACACAATAGTTACTGTTAGCTCAGAGTGCCTGGCACATCTTCAGGAAGCCCTTAACTCCATCATCCCCTTTCATCTCCCCAAAAGTCGCCGCGTTGGCACTGATGCCTCCACGCTGTGATGGAGTAACACCATCTGCGAGCCAGGCAGGTGCCTGGGTGCTTTGAAATCTCACATAGGGAGAACAGACCCTGCCTAGCAGATGGAGGACTGTGTGTAAATGGTGAATGGCACAGATGGAAGAACTGCTAGAATGAAAGCACGCTCTGTAAGATAGTTAGGGATGTCTTGTTAATGTGGTTGCCTGGTGATAAAGGCTAAGGGTTCATGCTTGTAGCATAAAATACTTGTTGGCCACAAATGGAGGAATGCAGGAAGGGAGAATCCCTATCAGTTGGCACGAAGTTACACTGCTCCTCAGAATTTATCAGGCTAGTAGGAAGGGCTGGAACTGAAATACTTCCTCCCATTTGGTACCTCCAGAACTTCAGAAGAGGGTCACAGAATCTCTCAGCTCACTATCCAGAAAATGGTCAATACTGAAAAATAAACTCTATCCTTATTTCATTATTGTCCATAACTAATTCCAGCAGTTCACAACGCAGCAGTACAATGCCTTGTGATACCAGCAGGCTGCAGGTGTAGTGGAAGCATCACTCAGGTGTCTCCATACAGACTCACCACTCCCGTATCTCAATCTTACAAACTTTAGGGAAAGAGATATGTTTTCCTATCTCACATTGCACACAGTGACACCCATAGTGTTTGAATTCCTTTCTATTATCCTTTGGGTCACCTTTTATCACATTCTTAGTCTGCTTCCTTTATAATTTGCAGCTAGTTCAGGCACAGGAGGTAACATCCTGCAACCTCCTTACATTTGGATTAGTGTTTACGCATTATCTTATGTCAGTTCAGTCAGAGGCACCTGCATCTTCTTTAGCATCTTTTGATTTAAAAACTTGCAAACTGGAGTGAACAGAAAGACAACTACTTCACAGTCACAAGAGGCAGAGAAAAGTTTGAACCAATTCTTCCTCTCTGTCAAAGCAGAATCAAAAACTTTACAAGCAAAGGTAAATGGGCCCTCTGCTACCAAACTCTATGGAATGACAAAACTGGTTGCTGATATCATAAACACAAACAGCCGTAGGAAGCATCTCAATCAATATGTAGGGTGTCATTCTTGAACATATGTTTAGCACAACACTCTTTACTGGCACTTGAAAAGACTTATTTTACCATAAAATGAAAGATGAGATAGTCATCATGATCAAAAATCATCAACAATTCAGAAGGAAAGATGCATGAAGACACGTCAGCTTTGGCTGATGTGAGGACAAACTAATACTTTATGGTTTGGTTGTGTTAGGTTTAATGAAGTTTAATCATCCTGAGATTTGTTTCTTTTTTTTTCTTTTTTTCTTTTTCTATGCTGTTTGACAGCCCTTGGCTACCATTGTATCAGCTAATACACTGTCAATGATGACAGTTTCCAGGACAGACCTTGAGCTGAGTGGTAGGGAATACAGATATAGGCTGTGACTTGTGAATGGCTCCATCTCATCCTTCTTTTTACAACAGTTGTCTTTATGGCATCTTAAAAAAATAAAAATAAAAAAATAAAATTCCATCTGTTGCCTCCATGTTGCACATATACATCAATTTCATTTAGCAGAAACTCCTGTAGGAGATGCAGCCTCTAACAGTGCTTTACTGAGTTTCACATCAGCTTAGTCCTTCATCTCTGTCACACTAGGGTTGGTGGCTTGTTAGCTCTATGGGTACATTTTCCTACAAGAGCAAAGAAGAACAAGAGGCAGGGGGCAGCGATCTGAGATGTTGTTGTGTTTCAGTTCTATCCTCCCAGTCCTACATTCATTGATATTTTTAAATGTGTTCTTTCCCACACTGCTGCTGCAGGAGGGAACCCTGTTAGCACCACAGCAAGCTTAGCTACCTCAAAAAGAATCCAGTGGGTTACATATCCATAAAGAAGATGTAATAAAAATAAAGGCACTACTTACACACTGCCTTAGTATTTTTGCTAGGCTGCTGAGTGAACTGAGTGGTTACAAACTTGAGTATCTTAAGACTGATGCAAAAAAGGCAGTGAAAAGGAAGTATTTTTCATTGCCACAAGCCCTAAGCCACTAAGATATTTTAACACCTTTGTTTTCAGTGTATCTTGTGCCATCTAGATGGGGAAAAAATTACTATTCTTTCAAAATCTACACCCACAAAAGTTCCACAGCAGCTTATAAATGTTAATAATAAACTTAAATGGGAGTGTTTAGGAACATGGAAGTGGTAGAAAATGGCATTTCCCTTCACATTTGACAAAAATGACATGGGTGACATGGACTATGATGTTCTAAGACTAGCTATGACTAATTTAAGATGCCAGCGGACACACTTAAGGGCCTTTCCATGCTTGTAAAAATAGGTTGTTCTTCATAAAGCCTGAGAACTTCCAGGACCTTGAAAAGTATAAATACACACCGTATTCCCTAAAGTTGAATTTTCAGGGAGGGAGACACTATACACATATATCCACTTCTTATTAGCCAAATCCTCGAGTTTCTTTCTTTGATGAACTCCAGGGAAGTTTCCTGATTAAAAAGTAGACATAGAGGCTTTCAGGTTGAAGTTCCACGCGGATAAAAGTCCTGTTAGTTTTCAGTGAGTTCTACTGACACAGAGCACGCACCGCCCAGAGGTACCTATGTAGTCATTTCTAATGTTATGTTACTTTGGAGACAGCACTGGTGATTTCGGAAAGAAAAAAAAAAACAAGAACACAACTATTTATATTTTAAGAAGCTCCCAGTAATGAAAAGCTAGAGAGCAAGAGGTATCCAGCAACACTAAAATGCTGAATGAATTGCCAGAAACATCTGTGTTTTGGGAGTAGCCTGCTGAGACACCCCAATGGGACTTCAGTACAAAGATAGATGGCAGAATGTAACCTTTCTGATGACTGTGGCTTTTGGAAACAGTCTTCAGCTATTAAGCAAAATAATCCCACATATTAAGTAAGATTTAAACAGCTGGAATATTTGTCAGTTACCTGCTTCCATATGAGCTGCCTGCTCATTTGGGCAGACCAGTGGCTGTGTTATAACATGAAACTGGTGTCAGAAAACTTTCAGGACAGTTTATTCTGAACAGTTTGGATGAGATCTTGTCCTCACTGACTACTCAGAAGCAGGAGTGCCCACTCTGTGTGCTAAACTAGTTTATAAAATGACAGGGATGGTACATCAGCAAGCTGCCATTCTGCAGATAAGGTGACACTCCAGAAAGGGCAGAATTCTCAAACATTGCCTCGTCAGCTTGGCTGATCAATAAACACCGCTCAGCTACTCATGACAACACAAAGGAGACGTACTGTTTGCAACAAGACAAATGCTTTTTGTGCAGTCCGAGTGTCCAACATCAGCACAGTATGTCACTGGAGAAACCATCAACTACGGCTGTCCCTACTGGCTGTTCTCACAAGTGCTCTGAGCTCATCATAACTCATGTCTGGCAAGAGTCCCATTGGTGGTGGTGGTGTTTGTTTGTTTCTAAAAAGACTCCCTAACACGTCCAACCTCTTAAGCATTCCTCAGATCAGTAAGAGGCTGTGCTGAAGTAATGAAGTGTCAAAAGTAGATTCTCATCAATTTAGGGAAAGATTTGTCATGATAATTTCGATTACACCTAAAATGTTGCTGATGCCAACTGAAGTTGAGTAATGCCTAGCATGATTAACAGATGTGCTCCCTGTGGGGGAAGGTGATGCTCAGCCTTAGGTAACCGAGCTATTGTTGACTCTGTACCAGATACAATTAATATTAACATTTCTGTTTAATTTTCCTGCATAATCTTTGGAAAAATTACCACTTCCCACTGAAATTTGTGGAAAAAGGATTTACCAACATAAAATACTCCTTTTTGTGAGTCAAAGTATTTGCACGGTCAGTTATGCTCAGGCTACTAATTGTTGGATTAGTCACCTGAGACTTACTGTATCATAACCATCAGATTAAGCTTTTCATGAATTTACAAACAGCAGCAGATAAATATTTTAACAGCTCTTTAGCTATCATAATATACACTTTTAATCTCCTCTGAGATGTTATTTTCTTAAGTGTTCATAGATCACATAAGAAATCATTTGCTTCACAGTACAGCTCACCAGCAGTCAATACTTTTTAGAACAGAAGAATCTTACAGCTTATCATAATGCTTCATTTCTTATTCATACTTCCACAAGCTCTTATGCAGGATTTTGCAATTCACAGTGCAGGTACCAAAGACAATATGCAGCCAAATATTATCTATTATAAATAAGGCTAGTGCATCATATCACCAAAAAACAAGATCTGATGCTGACCTGCAACAGCTTGCTTTTGTACCAAGCCCTGCACCCAAGTGTTTGCCAGCAAATTTAATCATTAATATGAGTAAGAATACAATCTGGCACTTTAACTTCCAAAGGTGGTTGACCTTTGTCTTTTAATATCAGCGTTTACATTCCAAAATAGCACTGATGATGATGA